GCTGGATGGAAATAAGAAGAGGAGGAGAGGGAACAGAGCCGATTTTCTAGCTCCCAATCAACTTCCTTCTCAGGTGCATAGGTTGAACAATCTGTAGCCATGAGAAGGCAATGTTGTCTGAACTGGGAGAAGCTCTTACCAGGACTGTACAAAGTTTTAATACACCTTTACCTTGACATTCCCCCGATTGAGTTGTTGAGGGTGAGGGATGTTCTGTATATGTTGTGTCTCAATTTTGCTACTTCTACAAGTGACCATAAATGTCCCTCAGTGGCATACACTGTAGAGACTAAGACAAACAATACATGAGGACTCATTTCAACTGAACAACTTCAGGAAAACATTGAGGAAGAATGACACATGCCAGCTTTGTCTATGGTCCTTGAATAGTGGAATGACTGGATTTTTTCTAGCCAATTTCAGAGTGTGTCTTCAACTTCCTCCCAGATGTTTCAAAAGGGAGGTCCCTGTATTCCTCACCCAAGGACTACCTTCATTTTTACAATAGGAAGGACAAGGACTTCCAGGTGGGCTCCATTTCTTAGGCACTAGAATAATGGTCTGAGTGTGTTCTGAGTGAAAATAAACCATGTTAAACCATCTAAATTCTCTCAGATTAGCTGTGCTGTCTGGTGAGCAGAAACATCTATATCAAGGGTCAGGTCAGAGTGGGGTGAGGAGAGGCAGGTGCAGGAAACAGATTTGCATGGAGGCCACTCCCTCCCCTAGGTAGGGAGAGGGGATTACAGAGCTTTCTGGGAATCAGGCTCAGTGTTGGGGTCTTAGAAGGCAACACTCTTGGGGGATCTCCACTATGTCCTGGGCTCTGCTCCTTGTAACCCTCCTCACTCAGGGCTGAGGTGAGGCCTCCCTAGAAGAGACCATGGGGACAACTGGGCTGATTCTTTGTCTCCTCCTCAGGTTCATGTAGACCCAACACTGAACTGAGCACTGAGTGTGTTTTCCTAGTTTCAGGTTCCTGGGCCCAGGCTTCTCTGACTCAGCCTCCCTCAGTGTCTGGGTCTCCTGGACAGTTAGTCACCATCTCCTGTGCTGGAAGCAGCAATGATACTGGTGGTGATATTCATGTCTCCTGGTACCAACAACAACTGGGCATGGTCCCCAAACTTCTGATTTATAATGTCACAAAGGGGGCCTCAGGTATCCCTGATTGCTTCTCTGGTAGCAAGTCTGGCAACATGGCCTCCCGGACCCTCTCTGGGCTCCAGTCTGAGGACAAGGCTGATTATTACTGTAGTACATATAGGAGTGATGGCACTCTCCACAGTGGTGCAAGTTCATGGGGAAGTAAGACCAAAACTTGCCCTGTGCTCACTGTGTCCCTCCAGGTTCTGAACATACTTCCTCATCCTTGTGGCGATGGCTCCTGCAGCATGGCCTGGAGAATGTATTCCCTACGTGTTTTTGTCTCCTCTCCCAGTTTTGAGGATGTAGTGTTGGGTGCTTCTTTTTTTGCGTTTTATCTTATCTCACAGGTAATCCACAAGGATATGGTGTCTTTGGTTTACTGCTTTTGTTTGTAATTTGTGGATCCAAAAGCCACTCATTCCAAAATCTTTATTGTCACAGCCAGAGGGAGACCCAAGCACTGAATATGGGTAAAATTTCCCACAGCTCTCACTTTATGTATTTATATTTTTTACCAACCAAGCATATTTAAAATTGAAAAAGCCTTTAGTATATCATCTGTAATCACAGCAGCATCCACGTAGCAGAGAGGGTATAGAGAATGTGTCAGAGAACATGTATGGGTGGGAAGTTTTCTAGGTTCTTACTGACCCCTGTGCCAGCATCACTCTGGGGCCTCAAGGGCACAAAGTCTTATCAGAGCACAGATGGCAGTGACCTTAAATGGAGGGGCCGTGATGCTCACACTGAGACGGAGTGGGGCTGGTTGCTCCAACAGGCCATCTTCCTGCAGGAGCAGCCTCCAGGGAAACCCAGACCCAGTTAGAGGAAAGACAGGTGGTTGTGACTGAGAGGAAGTGCCAACCATCATTCCTCGGCATCCCCCTGATCACACTTTGGGATACAGTTTTCCCAGGGCTCCTGGATTGAAAAGGCCTAAATACATCCTGGGAAAAAGACAGAAAATATGTTTGAGCCCACCTTCTAACACAGGTTCCGAGAGACTCCAGGAAGCAGGGTGGACCCATCGGATGTTTGAAAAGGAAAGGAATGACAGCCTTTGGCCCAACAGCACCAGATGCTTGCCAGCCACCTACCTTCTTTCCTTCCTTCCTTCCTTCCTTCCTTCCTTCCTTCCTTCCTTCCTTCCTTCCTTCCTTTTTTCCTTCCTTCTACTCTTTCTTCTGTCAGGTCTTTCTGCATTTTTCCCCATGCTCCTAAACTTTCCCATAACAGGAAGACAATGTGAGGAGACAATTGTCTGAGGAGACAATGTGAGTGACAGATTCTATGGTTTCTCAGAATGTCCTCTCACCTCCCATACCTGATTGGTTCTACTGGACACAGCCCTGCACCTGAGCTGTCTTGCCATTACAAGGGGATGTTTTGTGTCAGGTGCCACTTATTTTACACTGTACTTATTCTGTATATTTTATGTTCTTTTCATTCAATTTAATGTTAATTGCAATTTTTCTTTTATCCTCATCCAAGGACATTCTTTTTCATTGATTTAGAGAGAGAGAAAGGGATAGTAGAAAAATCGGTGCTAGAGAGAAGCATAGATGGTTGCTTCCTGTACAAGCCAAGACTGGGAGTTGTGCCTAGAGGAATTGGGGTTTATCCTGCAATCTTGGCCTCTGCCCTGACCAGGAATCAAAATGTACAATCCTTTTGCATGGGATGATTCTTCAATCAACTGAGATATACTGGCCAGAGTGTAATTACAATTTTTAAAGGAATCATCATATTCGTTTTGACCTGCATATGGGTTTGGGAATAAATATTTGTGTGAGTTAATTTATTTGTTTGACTTTAGAGAAGATTAATCACAGTTACAAGTGTTCATTTTGCCTACTTGGCTGGCTGCCATGCTTAGTGTTTCTGTGTCACATCTTGTCACGTGGTCACATATACACAGAGTGACGTTAAATGAGAATGGGGAATCCCGCAGCATGGGAGCTCTGAGTTGTTCCCAGTTATCAGAACCAGAAATGAGGACAAGGTGGAGCCCCTGGAAGATCAGAGGTTTGCTTCTTGCTGTACTATGTGGATAACTGGAGTATACCCTCTCCACAGTTTTCCCAGGAGACAAGGATCCAGTCTACTTCATCCACAGGTCCGTCAGGTGGATCTCTGAACAAGTCATTGATTACTACCCCTTTACTATGATTTCACACTAGAGACATCATTCTCTAAACCACAGCACTTAGATGTTTAGAGAACCCCCCTGAAACAACTGTGTCATAGACAACACTGCCACTTCTTCCCAGGTCCCCTTCCCTCTCCCCTGATGTCTGAGAGTGTCATAAATCTGTGTGTTCCCTTGGCCACAACTTCTCTTTCCTTTTCACAACATCCATGATGCAGAATGAACAGCAACCCTAAAATAGTATTTTTGAGCTCTTTTTTTCAAGGAACCTCTAGTCATTTCCTGAGAACATTTTTAATCTGATTGGGCCAGAACTAGTCAGTCCTGACTTGTCTGTTCTCCAAATCTGACATTCCCCAGAAAAATACACCAGGCCAAGCATCTCTCTGTGGACGAGGGAGATTTTGCTTCACAAAGTCACACAGCTCTGAGGTGAGGTCATCTCAGTGTGCTAAGTAGGGGGCACTATGAAGAACATTGCGTGTCCCATGTGACCAACGAACACACTCTGAGGACAAGTCCAGGAGTTGGGCTCTTTGCCAAATCTGACTTGTCTCCTCCAAGAATCTCAAACACCAGATTTTCACTTCTTGTTTTCCATTGGGTGGTGACGAATCCTGCTGAGCTCTCTCTCCTTCATGGATATGTTGTATTTGGACACTGTGGGAAGTCAATCTGTCTTCCCTTTGTCCCATATTTTTCATCCATTTTCCCCCCTGCAATTGATTTTATTTTGCGTCTAATGTTCCACACTCAGGCCAAGGTCTACATCTGCAGCACAAACCCTGTGAAGAGAGACGGCTAAGAGACAAGCTCAACAGTTCTGTGGGGAGGGTCTGGACTTCTTCTCCCTTAGGTAGGTCACATTCCGTTCTAAATGAAGAGGGATAAAAATATCAACAAGCTCAGATGGGTGTAAGGGATACCTAGGGACCTGTTGCTGAGCTGGCTGGGAATAAAAAAAAAGGAGAAGCTAACAGAGAAGATTTTCCCAGCTCCTGGTCAGATTGAATTATCTGATGCCAGCAGGGGGCAGCATTGTCTGCATTTGGGGAAGCTACCAGTACTTAACTGAGGTTTCCCCTGACCTGTGATGCCTTAAAAGTCCTTTTCCCTGATATCCTCTAGCATGGGTCATTGAGGGTGAGGGATGTCATGTATATGTTCTATCCCAATAGTTTTACTTGTGGCAGTGGCCGTAAATGTCCCTGAATCTCAGACACTGTAGAGATTCGGACAAAGAATATATGAGGATTCATTTAGACTGAAGAGCTTCAAGAAAAGGTTGAAGAGGGAAAGAGATGTCAGCCTTGCTTGTGATCCTTGAATTATGGATTAATTGGTTTTTTTCTAGCCAACATAAGACCTCATCCTCCTCCCAGATGTCTCAGAAGGGAAGTCTCTGTATTCCTGAGCTGGGGACCACCTTGATTCCTACGGTAGAAAGGACAGACACATCAGGTGGGCTCCATTTCCTAGGCACCTGAGTTATTGGCCTCAGTGTGTTCAGAGTGAGAATAAACCATGTCGATCAGTTGTGCCGTTGGGTGTGCTGAAACCTCCAGAGTACGGGTCAAGTCACAATGAGGTGAGGAGAGGCAGGTGCAGGAAGTAAATTTACATAGAGACCACTCCCTCCTCCAAGGCAGGAAGAGGGAATAAGAGAGGTCTGGTGGAGCCAGAACCAAGCTTGGGGCCTCAGAAGGCAGCACCTGGGGGGTCTCCACCATGGCCTGGTCTCTGCTCTTCCTCATTCTCCTGACTCAGGGCTCAGGTGAGGCCTCCAGGGAACAAACCATGGGGATATCTGGGCTGATTCTTCATCCTCCTCAGACTCACATCGACCCAGCACTGACCTGAGTCCCAAGTGTGTTTTTGCTCTTTTCAGGTTCCTGGGCCCAGGCTCCCCTGACTCAGCCTCCCTCAGTGTCCGGGACTCTGGGACAGTCAGTCACCATCTCCTGTGCTGGAAGCAGCAGTGATGTTGGGCATGCTACTCATGTCTCTTGGTTCCAACAACAACCAGGCATGACCCCCAAAAGCCTGATTTATGGAGTCAGCAGTAGGCCCTCAGGGATCCCTGATCGCTTCTCTGGCTCCAAGTCCAGTACCACGGCCTCACTGACCATCTCTGGACTCCAGCCTGAGGATGAGGCTGATTATTACTGTTGCTCCTATACAACCAGTAGCACTCTCCACAGTGATGCAAGTTCATGGGGGAAGCGAGACCAAAACCTGCCCCGCACTCGCCGGTTCCCTCCTCTCTTTGAAGGCGCTTCCCCACCCTGAAGTGTCTGGGCTTCATTCCCAAAGCCCTGGACCATCATTGTCTCAGAACCTCTCTCCTCTCTCACCACAACATGCAGAACACAGCACTCTCTGAGTTTTTGTTTTGGGTCAATAAACAGTTTCCCCTTTGTATGTGTGTCACTGTCCCCAAATCCCCAAATGTGCAACTTTTCCCACCTCCTCACATGCGATAACAGCGAGACAAGTTGGGGGCAGTTTTGCCATTCTCAGGAAAATCTTCACTTTAAATGCCATGCTCTCTACAGAAGCCCAACCATGTTGGATTTAGTTCTGCAGAGAGAACCTTGACTGATTCAGTCAGGGTTCCCTGTGTCCTCTCATCAGCATACCAAGAGAGCTATTGGTGGGTGATTCCTCCACACGTCCGCTGCTGAAAGAATACCAACTAGGAGACAGTGAAGATGTTGCTGAGGGACTGAGGATAAGGGGCTAGATGTTCTTTTCCTTTTAGGATACCTCATTCTGACTCCATATCCAGGGACGCTGAGCAGTAATGAATTTGAGCTGCCATTCTGTTTTATGTAGCATTTCCACTCTCTTTAGAGCAATGAATTCCTAATCTGGAAGCAACTCTGAACAATGCCTGCATCCCATTAAGCTAGACTCCTTCCAAAATAACTCTTTTTTTCCACAAGGAAGAGACATTTTGTGGGTGTGTTCCTCCCATTTTTTTCAAGAACCCCCAATATATGTTTTCTGTGGTAAACCAATGAAATTACTTGTTGGTATATATATATATATATATATATATATATATATATATATATATATATATATATATATATATTATGCTAACAATTGTTTGACCATCTGAATGAACATAGGCTCAGTAGGAAACAGAAAAACCAGACTGTGACCAACTCTTTCCATTCTGCAGGAACTCCCCTGGCTTTGGAGCTAAAAGTGCCATATCTTAGCAAGGTCCTCAGTCCCAGGGCAAACTAGGAAAGATGGTCACTGTAACAATTGATTTTGTGGTTAGCTTGAGTGCACTACAGAGTGCCCAGATTAAATGTTGTTTCTGGGGGCGTCTGATGGTGTTCCTGGATGAGACTAGCATTTGAATTGGTGGGCTCAGTAGAGTAGACAGATTGCCCCCCACACATGTGATTGAACTCATACAACCCACTGAGCACCTCAGTAGAACAAAAGGTGAAGGGAGAAGGGATTCACCTCTTTTTCCTCACTGATCAAATGGGGACATCTCATCTCATCTTCTCCTGCCTTCATAACAGAAAGTTACACAGTCAGCTCTCCTGGTTCCCAGGCCCTTGTACTGAAGCTGAATCACAACACCAACTTTTCTGGCTCTCTAGCTTGCAGATAAGCAGCTCATGGGACTTCCGTTCCCCAGTAATCACTAGTTACCTGAGAGCTAATTCTTGACAAAGGCTCATGCCTTTGAACAGAGACACGGGATGGGCGAAAGTATGTTTACAGGTGTTCCTATGGAAAATAATACAGCAATTAATGAATAATAATACAAGAATAAGTTCTGTTGCCCACACTTCAATTGTTTCACAACTATAAACCTACTTTTTCCCATCCTGTTTATTTTCTGAGTCACCCTGGACTGAGCCTGTGACAGAACCTAGGGAATCGAGCCAGCCTTGGAGTGTCCTTACCTTCCTGTTGTGGAGGTCGCAATATGGATGGCAGAGGAATCCTAGAACATCCACCGACTGCTGTGTGGGACAAAGGTGAGGAGCCCAACCCAGGCTGGCTGGGATAAGGGAGATCCAACTACTGCTCATCCCAGGGACCAAAGGCAGAGGTGGGGATCTGTCATTCTCCCTCAACCCCTGCTTGGTCCCCCTCTGTTGGAGATGTTTAAGAGCTCTCCTAGAAAAGAAATTACTGGGACAAAGGAGATATTGAACACCCCTTTCTTCTTTCATGTCCCACTTAGGAGTGGCTGAGGAAGCAGCTTCTGGGACTTTAAACAGGACAGAATAAAAACAAAAATTACCTTCCCCAAAGACAGGCCCATGCTGAGCCCTAGTGGGCTCAGATGGTGAATGCCAAGCACCATGCTCCTACTCCAGTCCTCCCCCTCTCAGCTCATTGCCAAGTCCCCTGATCCCTCCTGAGCCAGTCCATGACTCTTTAACATCCTCCAGAATGACTTGTGTCACATGCAAAATTTGGTGGCCCACAATGCTCCCTCTAAGGATCACCTTGCTTATAACAGGAAGGTCCTGTCACAGGGTTAGTGTATGTGAGGTGGATGTCAGCTCAGGAGACATTACACATGAACTTAACCCAGCCCCAGGAAGTACACAGATGTGAAAAGGGGGCTCATGAGAAGATCAAATTCTCAAAAGGGTTAGAAAAAGGAATAGTGCAGCAAAGAGCAAGAGCTCAGTCAGGAGGAAGAATGACCTGATGAGAATCAAGAGAAAGATTCCAGTGTTCAGAGATGTGGAGGAAGGGAACTGGGGTCAGGTTTCTCCTCAGGACCCCGGTTTCAGGAACTTATCATCAGAACAAGTTTGCACGTCGCAGGGAACACGGGACACTCTTACCCTTGCCTCCCAGTGCACACAGACTAACTCAGAACTGTGCAACCTCCTGAGGCAGTCTCATCCACAGGGAGGTGCTTGACCTAGTGTGGTCTTCTAGCAGAAGACAGGTTTGGAGCAACTACAATTAGGGCTGACGGATCCTTTCCAGAACGGAGCTGGAAACTCCCCACCGAAAACTGATTGGTGCCCCTCAGGGACCCAGGTGTTCTGATGAAATGTTTAGACTGCTTTGCCTGGTTTTAGGAATTGTAAATCTCTACCCCCAGTGGCTAAGGATGAGGGAGCTACGACCTCTGGAATGTGAGCCACAGGAGACAAGGTTTGTCTCTGGTAGCAAATGCTGCCTCAGTTTCCTCCCTGCCCCCAAAGTATGATTTGAAGTCCTTGATGGGTAAGACCCTTCAGAGGAGGGGCAACCTAGGCCAGACAACATCACTTGGGAGGCCATCATGGAAGGACTCGAGGGGCTGCAACAAAGAGCAATGGCTTTCTTGCCCCCCGGGCTTTGACATAGCCCAAGTCCCCACGTCCTCTGGGAGAAGTGCTTCCTGGCTCTGTTTCCCTTAAGCCTGAATGCCTCTTGGGAGAGGTGCAGCTCCTTGCCTTGCTAGAGTGTGTCCTGGGGGAAAATCTGGCATCATAATGACTTCCTGATAAGCCTGTGAAATCTGCTCTGCTAAGAGTGCTTTCATTCATATGTTAAGGGTTCAAGCAGGAAACTCTAAAAGTTCTCTTCTTGACAGACTCTGACTCGGACTATCTACTGTTTGATCCTTGCCGCTCTGTATTTCTGTATATTACAACCCAATAAAAGTCCCTGGAGGAAGGGGCTTGAGGCCTTATTTTCCTCGGAGAAACAGGCCCTGCTCAAGGCCTTTTTCCTCTGGGAAACTGGCCACCTTTCCTCCCCAAGCAGATCATGTCTCAGTCATGTTTACTCTCATCCATGGCACACAGGGGGACTTAGAAGGAAAGTCGCCCCCACAATGAAACTATTTTAGTGTCACTGTTCATACCATGTGGCATATATTTCCAAGAGTGTGTAGAAGATATGGCCCTGCCTGAGATCTTGGGATGAGCAAAGTGGTGGGCTCTGGTGGAAAAGAAAAATGTGGGTGAAGAAATGATAGTTTGGGAGTTGAGGCTATTGTTCTTGTGTGCTTGAAACATTTATGTACTCTGTTTTTTAGGCATCCACTTAGATGATGGTATCTACTTTCTGAGATGGTAACACAGTGGTAAGTGGTTGATGACCTTCTAGTGACACAGTCAGCCAGGCCTCTAAGGCTCGGTTCAGAACCCAGTAGCGGTTTGGGTCCTTTTCTCTTGGAATCAGGGGAGAGGCCTCCTGTGAGCATCGCAGGTGGCTGGGTGCGGCTGTGAGAGGAGAGTGTTGATCTTCAGGAGGCGCGGCCTTGATCAGTTCCACGTTCCATCACTACTAGGAGCACGTTCAGGGCCCCCACGTTACAGGAGTCACATTTTTACTTAAAGTTCCTCTCGAGTTTTGTGCCCACACAATGAGATATGACAGAAATAATAAGCACAACGGCCACAAAAAAGCGGCAAACTTACCAATTGCATATGATAGGGTTACTAACCAACGAAACGAAGCATATCGTTTTAGAAACAAAACCCAGTTCCTGGGTTCTTATCTTTTACGATGAATGGAATATTGTGATTTCTTAAACAATAGCAATTTTTAAAGAAAAGATAGAGAAAATATCCAGAAGGGATATAATGGCACCTCACCCGGAAATTTAATGGACACATGATTGGTAATTGTCTTGAGATATTGATTCCCTCGTTGCACTGAATAAGAAAACACCAGTGGAAATATTGACCAGAAGGACATCTAAAACACTTTATATGATATCTGCCAAAGGGGAATTTTTTCTCCCTTTAAGTAATTTTAAATATATATAGTTTAATTATTTGAGAAAATTCAAGAGTCTGTTCCTGCAGCTTAATACTCCAGATACACGATACAAGGGCACTTTGCTCCAGAAATCTCATATTGAAATGATTCTGTTGACTCAGTATCTAGGGTGTGGTATTCTTGGTAATTCTTTGTCTTTATAAGAACAGCAGCTACTTCTCAGAAGGCAGTTGTGTCTCCACTTTAAAAAGAGACACACTGGAAGAGGCAACGGTGGCTCCCTGCCCTCCTATGTCATGTGAAGGTCCTGTGATGTCATTTAATTCAGGGAGCAAGTCTTACATTAGATGCAACAGAGAATAACCAGACAGTGTCCCTTTTGCCACCTGCTGTTTGTCTCCACAAAGACACACACTTTATAGGCAGCTGTGACTTCTGACCCTGCTTGCACAGAGAAAGGGCTGTGACTCAGGACAATATTCTCTGTCCAGTAGAGGGGACATGTCCTGTGGTGCTGTGACCAAGCTGCTGAGACGTTCGTGTGTTACACGGCTCCGGTCTAGAAGATGTGAACA